CCCGTGGTTGGAAACTCATGCAGCTAACTTGTGACACAAAATATATTAAGGTCATTGTTATTTCTGTAGCAGACACTAGTGTCATATTACCTAATTATATCTGGGGAAGTACCCCGTAGTACCTTATAATTTCTAGGTCAAAGGAGGAATAATTCTAGTGATGTATGCATTTGCTACACAACAGAATGGAAGCTATTTATATTTTCTGTTTCGGTATGGAGTCATCCTTTCTGAGCCTTGACAATGTTTGAGTACCGACTAAAGTGGAGGAAAACCATTTTAACGCCAACTGCCAAGTTATAGCCGGGTTCGAGCTCAACTGGATTAAGCTTGACTGAGCTTAAGAATAATCTCGTTCTGGCGTTGGTGACAAACAAGAATATGTCTTTGCTACTTCAGAAAAAGATTCAAAAATGGTTCCATAGCAATTGAGTTTGTTGTTAAGTTTATAACTTTACGCTCAACGCCTCAAGGGGTGTGAATCCTCCCTCCCCAATATCCGAGAGAGAGAGAGAGAGAGAGAGAGAGGGAAGAGAGAAGAACAGAAAAGAAAAGAGTCCACAACTTTGCTACAAGTGAGTTCTTTTTTTCTTTTTCCTCTGTAGTATATATTGGTGTGACATTACCTACCCTATTGCCATTGCAGCTTATACCTCATACTCTTCTAGGTTACAACAGAATAAAAAATAAAAATGATTGTAGTGTTGTAAGTTGTAACTCCTAATGGACAAATGTTTGTTTGTATTTTGGAACATATAACAACATTAAGCCATTTCCCCTTAAGCGTGTCGTCTAGTGTCTACTCTTTGCCTTGAAGCTCTCTTTTTGAAAACTTGTTTCTCTTCCCAGAAGCCTCTGTTGCAGGGAAATGTTCTTCTAAGATGCCAAAACTGGCTGCGTAAGGCTGTAGAACATCCTCATTATAACTGCAATCTAACCTGCTTATAAACAGGAAAAGGCAAAACAAAAGTTCCTGGTGAGAAAATGCAAAGCAGTTTTTGTTAAAGGAAAGAGAATACTAGAGAATGTTAGAGGACTTAGGAAGCCTGTTGCAATTTGTAGAAATCCATCCAATCTGGTTCTTCTCATTGTCATAAATCACCATTTTGTTCTGCAATGAGATATCTGAGTGACCAAAATATAAATGAGAAGTTAGAAAAAAAAAAAAAAAAAAAAAAGGGTCCCAAAAGGAAGCAAAATCACTGTCCTGTTTATCTTTTGCTGCTGCCTCTTACCTCCAATTATATTGAAATTTTTCAGTCCAATTTCTGTGCCATTCAAAATTCCCAAGCACACATTTCCATTCTCCTGGCATGAAAATGCTTGTTAGAAATGATATCTCTCATGCATGCTTCTTACATCAAATTCCTGAAAATATTTGTTTCAGTGCTCACCGTAACAATTAGATAGGCTTCAGGTGGTAGTTGTAGCTGAGCATTCTTTGAATGTGTAAAGCTCAGTGCTAAGGTGCTGAAATAATTCTTGACATCACTAACCAATTTGAAACGTTCTCTGCCTTTCCAGCAAATTGGGAGAGCTGGATCATTCACTACATTTAACGGCTTTCCTTTCACATCTTTCCTTAGCTGAAACATGAAATAAGCAATGAATTCCTTAAACCAAGCTTCCCTCAGGTGCATGTATATCAAATGCAACATGTATCTCATTCATTTTCTTTTTACCAGATTGAGTACACCTTCATAGAACTGTGAACTGAAGTAAGTGTAAGAGCTTCCACTGTCAAATACTATTTTTAGATCCTTTATACCAGTAGGCTTTCCACCCAAGAGAAGTTCTGCTGGAATGGACAGATAATGTTTACTGAAACAAGTTACCAAGCATATACAAAACAAGTCAGTTGAGGGAGGTGAAATTGTGATATTGCAAATAAGAAAACAGAGAATCAATCATGGTGCTTACGCATCACTTGACATTGGCATCCAAACAACTCCAGAGGAGGGTACGAGATCATCTCCAAGAAACACATACCCTCCCCCTTCCCCACTTAAACAATGACCTATGACATTTCGTGTTAGATCCATACTGTGCAGTTGTGATAAGATACTTGCTTTACCACTGCCAAGTCCAAGGACCCCATCCGTGGATGGAGGAGGGTATGGACCTGGATTCTTCAGATCATATGCACATCTGCAGATTGGAGTATTAAGCAAAAGAAAAAGATGATACCTCTTTGTACACAGAGCAATAGAATCACTACTAGGATTTAAAAAAAAACACACACACACACATTTTCAATTAAAATTCCCTATGTCTATGTGTGAAAGAGTGACAAGAGGGAAACATACACATTCCCTGCTGTAAGATTGAGATAGAGGGGGGAAATACGCACCCAAAGCTCAAGCGGGGACTGATTTTAGAGCCATTGGTGAGACTTAGAAAAATGTTATCTGCAACAAGCACCCCAAGAGCCGAGCCATGATCCACATACTCCACCTCAAAGTCACATTGGTCAGTTGGAGTCTCACAATGAGGACTTCCTGGCGAGTGAACTGCCTCGCAAGATGGATGCTTACATTGCACAAGGACTTGCTTTTGGAGCTTGTAAAGATTTTCTTTGGGCTGCAAATATCACAGCGGCCAGATATTCAGACAACAACAACATGAAATGAATCAATCCATAAGAAATCTGACCACCACTTTTTAGTTGCAAATTACCTTAGTGCAACCAGTGCAAGGTGCATCACATTGAACCCAAGTAAGGTCACTTCCAGTGTCAATATCAAACTCAAAAACCCTGGGTGGGTTGCCTATAGTAAGGGATACAGAGTAGTAACTGCAGATATTACAAGATAGGTTAGAATCCCTAGAAAGAGCAGAAGAAACAATTTCAGAAATCTGACTTCCAAAAAATTGAGCAAGAAACAAAGGAATATCACATCTTTCAGTGTGAAACAATAAATAAATGTAAATAAAACCTGAGATTAACCAAGAATGTATAGAAAACGCACAACTAAGGAAATCAATCAAGAACTAGCGAATTAGTAAAGTTTCCCCAGAAAATGGAAATAGGTATGAATCACAACTAACATTACTTAAGATTGAGAACAACTAAAGATTGTGAAAAAAAAAAGATTTGAAAGGATCAGAAACATACCCAAGAGGATAAACATTCCCAGTAACAGGAAAAAGAAGAGACCCACGAGTGACAGCGGATTGGATTGAGTTTCCCTTGTTAGGAGGCTGACTGGCGGCTGGGAAACAACCTTGGAAAGTTGCAAAGAGGATCATAAACACCATAGTCACTGATAAAGTTGCTTTCTTTGCCATCGTATCCATCTTTTTCTTTTTGGAAACAAATCAAACGAAAGTAGGAATCCAGGAATGGGCAACAATGGATCAAAGAAATTTCGAGAAAGATTCTGCCTTTATGGGGTCTACTCGGAAGAAATGGAGATGGCCAGATGGGACAGAGTCCCGGTGTTCCGACCTCGTTACATGTGTACCGTCAGATGTCAACAGAATTTCGTTTTCGTTCTTTATTAGTATCTTTATTAGCTGCCAGGTGTTTTCACACAATTTATTAACGCCCCTTAACTTTTTTTTTTTTTAATTTTAATATTAACTCATATATTAAAAAGAAACTTAAAAATGTAATTATTATATTTTTTA